AAAAAAAAAAAAAAAAACATTCATAAATCATTTGATTTGGTATTTTGGAGAGCTTCATTAATTTAAAAGTGTAAAATAAATAAATAAAAAAAGTACAACTGAAAAAGGTACAACCAATTGTATAGAGAATTAAACTAAATCTAATTTTGTAAGATGCAATAAATATTTATTAGATTTTATATGTAAAATAAAATAAGAAATAACTGGAATAGTTTTACGTGTTGCAATATTTTATATTTAAAAAAATTAAAAATATCTTCTTTTACGTATTGCATACCAACATTTTAGAACTACATGGATATTTCTAAATTAATATTGCATACTCAATATTTTAGGAACTAATTAAATGCTAATTTAATTTACATACCAAAAATATTAGATGCATTAATTAAATGCTTGATAAAAATAGCAAATTATTAATAAGGGTTGACTATTTTACATACTACATTTAGTAAATAGTATAGCTTTTAATATAAGTATAGATAGATTATTATTATTATGATTATATTATTATTATTATATTTATTATTATTATTATTATTGTTATTATTATTATTATAATTACTATTAAAATTTGGAAATAAATGAGACAAACATGTTTGCAAATGTAAAAGCTTTACTGTAAACCACAGTTTTGAGACCCGGATGGGCCCGGCCGGTCAACCCGGGACCCGGTCGATCCGGAGTTGGAACCGTTCCGGGAGGATATTTGGATTGGGCAACAAAGGACCCGGTCAAAACCTGGCCAACCCTGCCTTGATCTGGTCAACCAGGGACATTGACCTGAATGGGGTGAACCCGGTTGACCCAAACCCTATATATATATATATATTTATATATTTATATATATATATATGTTATTATAATTTAATTTTTTAAATATTTTTAATTTTTATAAAAAAATAGAACTATGTATATATATTTATATGGTGAATATTTATTATAAAATTTATATTATTAACACTTTAATGTAAATTTATATACAAAATAATTAATTTTGTTACTTTTATGTATATTTATATGGCAAAATACTCTACATAATATAAAAAAAATTAAAATTAATTATCCAGTTCAACAATTGACCCGGTGACCTAAACAGTTTGTTTATAATTTTGAATTTGTCAAACAGGCCATAACAAGGAAAATTGTTTATTAAACGATCACAAACTCTAAAACCAAGTGCTCGACTGAATTCGAATATAGTTACCTCTAAACATAATACGAATATTACCTCTAAACATAATATTATTTATGGTATCGCAAATTGTCTAGAGAAAACAATAAGAAGTTAGAAACTTTTCCAACTCCTATAAT